AAACATACTTAATGCTACCAAATTTTTCTATATTTAAAGCTGTGGAAACCACTCTTGAAGACATATCAAATTTATAAAGCAGTTGTCTGAAGAAATTTTTACTAGTAACAACATATTCACGATTTTCTTAATACAACTACTGTTTTGAATTTACTTTGTGTTCCCCAGCCTAATTTATTTAAGTGTTGAAAAACCTATTATGCAAAACTCAAGAATGAATAAAAAGGAAAAGGTAAGTGACTGACAAAAGGAACTACAGCATGCTGACATCCTTCTGTCAAAATCACCTCCCTGTCCTGAAGGGGTACAAGGTGAAGCTGATGGATTGTGGCGAATGTGAAAGCTTTTGTTCTTCGAGTGCAGAGGAGAGGGAAAAAACACTGAAAAGCTGAATTGCAAAATCAATGTGCAATCCTGCGATCTGAAGCATGCCTACTGCACTGGACTCTCAGCCAGACTTTTAATTCTGGAACTTCTCTGATGAAACACCACTGCTATGTCTTTGCCCATGATAAATCCACGTAATAAAAATAAATGATCTACTTCAAGAAAAAGGAAACTGCCGCCTATCATCTGAATCTCAGTTCCACTACGAGCCTGGATAAGAAAAGAACTGAGTATGTGACTCATAACTTCTCCATGACTCAGTCTGCCATGGGAAAATCGCCTTCCTAAATAAAAATCCTCTGGGTGTATATGAAATCATGTAAATGCAAAAGTGATTTAGGACCCTAAAATATGATTATGTTCTCATTTCTAGTGTGATAATGTATAGAATATACTATAATGTTCCTAAATCAATGCTTCTATTCTCAAACTAATCATTTAAGTAACTCTACCTATGACAAAGAACTGTTGTTAATTATTTTTCCAAAAACCAATTACTGGCTGCAGGGGTTGAGTGGAGATAAAATTAGGGCTATTGTTTTATGGGTACAGAGGTTCGGCTTGGGGTGATAAAAAGTTCTGTAGATGAATGGTGGTGGTGGTTACACAATAGTGAATGTAATTAATGCCACTGAACTGTATGTACATTTAGAAATACTTTAAAATGGTAAATTTTATGTTATATCTATTTTACTACAATAAACAATTTTTAATGAGACTAGCTCTAAAAATTAACACATATAAAATGCAAACCATTATGTGTTATAAATTCCAGATCATCTAGGCTAATAAAAGTCCCCCAAAACAACTAAGTTAAAAAGAGCACTCAATTAGATTACGTGAACCATTAATATACCAAAAACATTTTGTTATTGTTGAAGGGCACTAGCCCTGCCAGTAGTATATACTTATTAAATTTTATACACACATACACATTTATGGCCAATATAACAATACATTTGCATAACCATATCTTTATTAGTCAAATAGTAATAGAAACTGTAGTGGGGGTCAAAACACAATGCAGAATTTAAAACCTCACTGTAGAATTATCAGACTTGCATACAATCTCTAGCAGTAAAAACTTTCGGAATAAAATAGCTGGGAGGAAGGAGACGGTCTTGTGAATCTCCCCCCACACACTCTCCCTTACCCCAGAAAATGGGGCTGATTTCTGTTTGCTTACCACCAGTCCTAGTACGAGGGTGCGAACTCTCTCTCCTATCTCTGGTGAAATGTCATTGCCAAACTGCTGCAGGGTAGTAAGGAACCTTTTCAGCTTACTGAGTTGCCTGGCGCCACAGGCCGGGGGCAGCTGTTGATTAGCCAGAGAAGAAGAGGAAGAGGAGGAAGGCCCATTGCTAAAGCCATTGGGCGGCGAAGGGGCACCATTCAAGGCTGTGGGTGAATGGCTTGTGCCATTAGTTACTGTCAAGAGCACAAAATCAGAATCAATAAATAAACTTATAGAGAAATGCACAAGAAAATTACAACCAAGTTTCCTTCCCTTTAAATCTGGTGGAGTTTGTAATTTAAAAAGTGTTAGATAACAACATTATATTGGTTCCAGGTATATAACCCAGTGATTAGTCATTATAAAACTTACAAAGTGATCACTCTGATAAATCTAGTACCCATCTGACACCATACATAATGATTACAATATTATTGACTATATTCGCTATGGTGCAATTGAAAAATAAAAAACATATATATTTAAGTTTAAAAAAAAACTGTTGGAGCTTTCTTGTAAAATGCTTTGACTTCACAGGATCACCATCGGCTCAGGTATACTAAAATTAAATGGGTCTATTTCTCATAGTGCATGAGGGTATTCTGCACAGAAGCTGATTAAATGGAGTCGGCTGCAACACAGACAGCCCTGCCTCCCATGTGCACATATGCCAACCACCTGAAATGTTTCAAACACAGAACAAACAACGCCTGGATGTCAGCCTTTTGTCACCAGCTTACATCCATATAACAGGACTATTTCTTTCTAAACTGCTCCCCTAGAGAAAGTGTACATTTGGTGGAGACTAAATTTATCACTGAACATTTTTAATCATGCTTTGTACACACAACTGACAGCTATGTTTATAAAAATTGGACTTTCAAGCTTTAACCTTATACCACCCAATTAGAAGGCTATTTTCTCCTCCTCATATTTCTTGACCAATTCTTTAGGGAAAATGCAAATTTTATGTAAGAAGCCAAAATATGCATGGTAATTGTCAAGGAGTTATTTCAAGAAATCCAAAGGGTACATATCTATCCCATTAATAATAGTTGGTGGTAATTCAGTAAATTCATTTCTGATCATATTTATTTGAACATCAAGATGATAATTCTTAACTAGCAGGCTAGAAAAAAAATTGCACATTTCTCACTAAAGAATATGCTGATTTTATCATGTTAAATCAATTAATTTGACAAATTAATCTTTATCAAACACATTTTAAAATATAATTTTGATAAAATATCTCTAACAATAGTTTGAAGATGTTTCAAATACTGTACTATTCTTAAAGTTTCAGGGTATTAAACTAATGGTCTCTTGTCCTAAATGAATATCAAAGCAACCTGTCAAGAAATGATAGCTCGCGAGGACTTCTCACAGGAGACATATGCCTATCACTATGGCTTTGGGTAACAACAAAACAAATACAAGATGACAGGGTTACAACTTGGCACGGGTGCAGCCTCCTGCTCCTTACACATTTGGAAAGGTCCTTTAAATGGCAATGCAACATTGCATAAACAGTCTGGGATGTGTATTTTGTCGATGCTTTTTAATCCATGAATCTATTTTTGATGACAATTCTAACCAAGACTTTGGGACAGATGAAAACAAAGCTACCTGCTATTCCTACGAGAACATAGAGGAAAGAAAGGCAAGTTGAAATTCTGTCAGAAGAGTCTGTCCTTTCATTGTATGACACAGAAAGCAATACACTCCATTGATTCAGAACACAAGACTTGAGCTGAGATGAAATGGAGTAAACGTTTTATAAAAGTCTGCCAGTTTCAACACAAGAAAGATGCTCCTTACTTCAGAAAGTCTTCTGTATGCAACTATTGCATAAAGTATTTTTCTGTGTGTGTGTGTGTGTGTAAATGTTGGGTTTTTAAAAATGTTAGTTTTTAAATGATTTGTAAATAATAGAAGAAAACGGTATTAGGAGATCAGATGTAACCTGGAAATAATTATTAACATGTTCGAAGTCAACTGAACAAACTAAAATAAGAAGCTCCACAGTAAGTCAAAATGAAAAGTTATAGTGGTGCCATCTCGAGTTACAGACCAAACGTAGTGTTTGTTCTTCATTCACTGAAATCATAGTATGATACATTTTTGAAGCAATCAAGAAAGGCAGACAAATGCCTGGCTGGTGTGGCTCAGTGGTTGAGTATTAACCCATGAACCAAGAGATCTGGGTTCAACTCCCGGTCAGGGTACGTGCCCAAGGTTATGGGCTTGATCCCCAGAAGGGGGCATGCAGGAGGCAGCTGATCTATGTTTCTCTCTAATCAAAAAAAAATTTTTTTATTTCTCTCTCCCTCTCTCTCTAAAAATCAATAAAAACATTTTTTTAAAAACAGAACAAAAGGCAGGCAACTATTGGCAGTCATACAAACTAAACCTAAGGTATACAAACTCAATACCTACTCACTACAAAACAAATGTTTTATTTATTTATTCGCTTCATTTCTGCATAATTCATTGAGGCTGAATCTTCTCTTAATTTTTATTTGCAGAAAACTTTTAATTTAAACTTCAAAATGAACACAGGAATTGCAGAAATGCCTACTCACATGTTGTTGGTGTAAATGAACTGGTTCTCGGGGCTCCTTGAGTTGTTGGAGGAGGTGGCATCGTGGGAGGAGTCAGCCTAGATGGAGTCTTCACATCCACAGGTGAGTCTGGCATTGTGGAGTGCTTCTCAGTCCGATCTGGAGGGGGCCACCATGGACAAGTTACTTTCTGAAGTACCCCAGTTTGTAAGTGGGATTTATCTTTGTTACAAGCATGTAAACAGAAGAAATCCAGCATCTTCTATCAATAAAACAGGCTTCTCTACTAAAGTTTAAATCAGGACCCGACTTAAGGAGGTGTAGCACAGATGGCAGGACCTCATTTGTAACTGGGTTATTTTACATCCTGTTATTTCTAGTTTGGGCAAATGCTACCTTGTTAGTGCTATAGGCAACACCACAACCTCACTCAAAGCAGAAGCCAAGATTAACAAGAGGTAAAAAATAGATGAGGAAGGAAAATAGTAATGAACTCCTCAGACAGCTTAGAAATAACACAAATCTGAAGTTCTGCTATGCAGATGAGATACTAGTAGGAACCAATGTTTGGCAAATTTTATAGCACCTGTATCCCTTTTCCCTACTTAGTTTTCTGGCCTATTGGATGAAGCAGATTATGTCTCCAAGACATACACCTCACTTCAATTTTTTCTGTCCTGTTTGAAAAAAATCACTGCATAAATGTCATATGTCACACAATGAAATTAAGCTATTATTCACTTAGAATGTGTGTTTATGACCCACCACTTCAAAAACATGAAACCAATACTTCAATTAACAGTCTCAGGCAGAGTAAGAACAGAAAAGTCCCAAATTGAGAACTAAAAAGAATTAAAGACCCTCCATATATTTTTTCATGAGTATGTCACAGATATGGAGACGTTTTCTGATTACTTATTAATTAACATTTGTACTTCAGGAATGTTTTCTACTAAGTATATTCTTCCCTTGAGATTTTATATTATCTTTCCTCATCTCATCTCTTTATCAAATGTCCAGTAAAAAAAAAAAAAACTGAAGTTTCTGTTTGGTTCTTTAGATCACTTTTCCACAAACATGTGTAGTGATGTGCACACGTGCGCACCCTCCCCCCCAAACATGTGTAAGGCGCCTCCTGCATCCTTACACACAGATATTTCCCACTTAGATTTTTTGAAAAGTAAACAGACTATTGATAAAAAATGGGTCTTTTAAAAAAAGTCTAACCATATGAGTACAGAGTTACTCAAAAGAACTTAAAAGTCAATTATCAAAAGAAATGAAAAGCCCAAATTACTATTATGACAATCCCAAAATTACCTCGCCATTATTTAAAGCAGTTTCATAAGACTTGGTTTGCAGAACACAATATTTAAAAGTTGAAATTATGAAATACCATATAAGGGAAGATGTAATAAAAGAATGAAAATCGTCATTCTCATACGAGCCTTTGAAAGATGATCTAGTTAACAGTATCAGGGTCTCTATTTGTTAATCTCTAACTGCTGGTTGAATAGCAATGAATGTTCCTGTAGTGAAAAGGGGTTCTGAGATGATGGTAAAGACACAGATGGAGAGCATTTCTACCTCCATCTTACTGTTAAAACGTGTCTTTATATTGCTACTCCACATTATTTAAAAACCAGCATCAATCAATCAATTATTCTAGGAAAATACAGAAGTTAGGCAGGTTTAAAACCACGTCTTCAATAGTTAAATTCATTGCACAGTCTACTCACCTCAACCAACCTCAGCAACAAGGGACTAAACAGCTTCCCGCTTATGTTGCAGCTGAGGGAAGAGGTACAGCAGCAAATACAAGTCACCCTAAATAAAGGCAAATATTTCTGTCATGCCAAGGAAGGAGGGATGAAGGGAGGCTTGCCAGAGTCAGCTGGGAGATAACAGAGGGAACTGCTAGTCCATCTGGTTCTCATTCTGCTAACACTCACGCTGAACTGTTAGAGAAGCCAGTCCAGATACACAGATTGAAGCACGTAGTTGCACAGACAGAGAAAGGAAGAGCAGGAGGGGGAGGGGGAAGTGGGAATAATGAAAGAATGAAGTAGTCAAAGGAAAAGAGAAGAAAGAGAGGAAGGACCAAAACCCGGAGAACAGAGCCTGAAGGGGGAGAAATCTACCTCAGGAGCTAAAAGCTGAGCCGTAGAGAACACAGACCCCACCTTCCTAACTTTGACTTACTTCTTGAACAATACCTAAACTTGAAAATATACCTGAAATCCATACTCTTTATGTTATTTGTTTGTTTGTTTGTTTTTTCGGTACATGCCTTTAGCGGACACTGAGCCCAAGACTCTGTGGTCCACAGGCTGACACTCCAACCGCTGAGACAAAACAGCCAGTGCATGGTTTTTTAAATAGAAAAAAAAAAAGAAAAAAACTACAAAGATGACAATAGTTTTCCCCTTCAAACTTTAGATCATCTTTGTAGTTCTGTCTTCATCTGTCCAGTGTTAGAAATTTTTTTGATATATCATAATTTTTATTTGAAAACATTCTGAATACGTGTCTTGGTCCATAATTGTAACATAATTCTACCCAGAAGATCATCATCATCATCATCATCATAAAAAGTAGGCAAATGAGTTTAAATTCTTGAGATGTCATCCATACTTTAGGAACAATAACAAAAAAGCCAATGCAGAGCAAATCACCACAACTTTTAAGAGGAATGTATATATTCTAACTGGAATATACGTAGATCTCTAAAATTTTGACATTAGCCAAATTTCTGAGATGGTTAGCTTTACTCTGATCAAATGGAGTTCCAACCCAGAGGTCTTACAAACTTAGACAAAGTGGGACCATATGTAACTCATTCTGCGCTGTTCAGTGCAATCAATTCAGGATGGCGAGAGATGGTGAAATAGGCAGTCAGGCCTAACCCTTACACACACAAAACTCTCTGGAGTAAAAAATATTTAAAATAAATTCGGAAAACATGTTTCAAGTATGCTGAGTTCTGTTGCATTTGTTTTGAATTAAAAAAAAACAACATTTTGAAATATATATTCTCAAAACCTTTATAACAAACAGTAAAAAAGTTGATTTAACCGCAGAAGCATTTCACTGTTTCAAATGAGCAGATATACTAAAACCAATATTGTTATAATATTTCTTATGTAATTTTTAAGTTCATGAAAATTATATTGTTCTGGTACATAATTTCTATTTTTAGTCGCTGTAGGAGATTGCTGACATTTACTGAAAGATGGACACAAAATGGTAAAATAAGAAAGAAAAACAATTTCTATCAGATCAACAAGGCACGTATAATCAAAAGAACTGACTTTACCTTTACTTTAATGATTCACACCACTTCTAAACAAGATTTTCCGTATGCGGTAATATTTCAACTCACATGGCAAATATCCAACACATATGTACTAAAGATGTCTGGGGCTTGGAAGAAAGTGTGGCATATATAAATACATTACGGATACCATTTCACTGTCAGGGTCTTCTAGAAGTGGTATGTTTTCCATTTCCCCCCCTTTTTTTAAGTAAAAGGAAAAGATATGTCATAATCTGCCATGGCACTTATTTTACTTTTAGTTAGTTCAAATAGTTCCAGATGTGTTTTTAAAGTATAAACAATAGGCATTCTACATTTTCCTTGTTTACATACCACTCTAGGAGATGATTAGTGTAAAAAAAAACAGAAAGTTCAGGATTGGTAGATTGTACATCTTTTTCTATCCGAGTTCATCATGTCAACTCTAATAAAAAGTCCATGTCTCAGAGGTGTTATGAACTGAGGAACTTCTTGGTCAGTTAGTAGTTAGCCCAGAGTTAGTCTTATTTGAATAAGTGTTAGTTAAGAAGGCTAGAGGGTATGCACTAAAGAGGATTAATTCCAAGTGGGACTGAGGGACTTCTAATGAAAATGAGAAGACAATTAGGGAAGAAAAACACTGGGTACAGAATTTTATTTCTACTTCTCTGGAAAATATGGCAAATATAGTTCTGAGAATACAGTCACTCTTAGTGACGCCAATGCCTGGGTGTGAGATGTTACAAGAGACTAATGGAGACTAGAATGGTGCCCATCCAGGCTCCACAATGGTACCATCTTATTTCCCTGGTGAACATTTCTGGTAATGTTCATTCCTGCTCAGAATCCTTCAACAATGCCTGAGAAGAAAAGTGAAATGCTAGCATTTTAAACATGATGAAATTATACAGTGGAAGAAACTTTGGCATAATAGGAGAATTTCTAAGTTTCAAATGTAGACTCAACAATTAGTAGTAAGCCCACAGGCAAGGTAGTTATCCTGAAACTCAGTCCTTCAGAAGAAGAATGGGAATATGGACTGGCTGGAGTGGCTCAGCTGGTTGAGCATCATTCTGTGCACTAAAAGGTTGCTGGTTTGATTCCCTGCACATACAGAAGGCAGCTGATCAAAGCTTCTCTCTCTCTCTCTCTCTCTCCCTCTTTCTCCCTCTCCCTCTCTCACTCTCTCTCCCTGCCGTTAAAAAAAACAAATCGAATGGGACTACAACCCTCTCTACCTTGTAAAGAGATAGTACTGTTCCTAATGTACATGATATGCTCTCCTCTCTATGATCCATACACAGCTTTATTTCCAATATCTTTCCCCCGAGACTAGGCTTTATTTATATAGGGCACCTTGGTATTCCCTGGTTTTTCTGCCTTTTTTTTTTCCTGCTGTTGTTTCCGTCATTAAACGGACCTGTCCCATCTTACATAGTCTTCACTACCAAATCATCTTACAGCTTTCCCCAGTTTCCCTAGGCACCAACTACATCATGCTTCCTTGGATTATTTTATAATTTACCACAGCCCATATGTACAACAGTTAAGTATGAGTATTATACACCCAAATACCTCAATCAGTAAAAACAGTAAGCAACGTGATGGTAATTTTTTTTAAATGTCTCCCTAGGAGACGTGTATAAAGTAAATGTAATTATAAGAGGGATAGTTACATTCCTAACTTTTACAAACCTATTCCCTGAACCATAGCCAGTTCAAAGGTACTAACCCTAGTTTCATAGCAAAAGACAAATACACAACCATCAACAGCATATAAATTTATAATGAGAGAATGAAATGTAGATAATCAGGGAACATACTGGAGTCTTGAATTTCATTTCAACTCTGTGACTAACATATT